AGTTTGATTTAAATATATGTGTGTATAATATAATTTTTTTAATTCGAAAAACGTTTTCAAGGAGAACATTAATATTTGAAAATATTTACATATTTATGACATTCGACATTCATTTAATTTTACAAGTATAAGTGTAAGTCTAATGTCAGTTTTGAATTCAATGGACGATACGTTATTACATTTATCACGTGACCCTCATGAATTTAATCCATTATTTAAGACACTAAGCCCAGTGATTTAGTGATAGCGTTTCGTGCTTCCATACCACATGTTTGGGGTTAAAATCCCAGGCAGAGCAAGGTCGACACAGCCTTTCATCCCTACTGCAGAGAGTCATTAAATGAGTACCAAGCTTGCTTTGGGACTTAAACACTGGGAGTTTCGCGTCAGACTGGCCACCTGACCGGGACATCTGCTCATGCACCTCAGTGCCAAAGGTCACGTTTTCTGAGATGGGCACAGTAGACCTTAGGTTTCAGTGGCTGTTGAGCCACTGAGTTTAGTTTAGATTGGAGACATTGTTTTTGCATTCTAGACATTTACTTCCCCGTTGAGAGCGCACTACAATGCGTGTCAAGGAAATCGAACGATGACGAGTATATTCGTCAGTCACAGAGTAAATTTTTCTGTTAAGGGGGTCACTTCACGCAGCATTTTCCCTATCTCCGTAATGTTAAAAATGACCAAGTTTAAGGAACATTTTTTAAAAATTGGCTGGTTGTACAGTCATGAATCTTTTTTGTGTATTCATTGTATTGTTTTTATTATTTTAATGGGAGCATTTTTCAAAATTTTGATTAGTTTTTTTAAAAAAAATTCATATGTGGAGTAACACGTCAAAAATTTTAAAACGATGAAAATTCTTGTACATTTTAATCCATAAATATTTTTTGAATAATTTTTTTGACAAAATCTCTCATTAAAATATTTATTTGTATAGTGTTAACATATGTGCAAAGTTTCAAGGCTGTAAAATAAGTAGTTTTTTTCAAAAATGTTCCTTTTGTGTTGAAATTTACACTTTTGAGAAATAGTGATTTAAAGTACAAACTTACTATTAACTAATGCATACCAGAACTATAACTTGGGGATTGCTAGTGTCATCTGCAAGATCATCTTCTTGCCTACATTTTAATTGTTTGTTTTTAATTCTGGCTTCTTTGGTTCATTGTAAAACTGACTATTCTGCTTTCCTAATACACGAATGATCTACTTTTTGCAATGCTCGACATTGGTAAAATTCAGGTGTTGAATGTTTAATACATCTAAAACTTTCAATTTGGTAATGAAGCTTTGGTTATATAAGTATATAGCTTCATGTACTATAGTTTTTGAAGTTCCCAATTGCACAAATACAGTTTTTGGAATTATACACCAAAAACTATTTCCGCTTTCACTAATATTTTGAGTTTTATCAAGCAAGCATCCAGATAAATGTTCAAGATTAGTGACCTCTAAATACTTTGTTTATGTAATTCCTAATTACAATAGGTAAGTCGTGTTTATGCTTGTATGTGTAACCTTTCAGTATGTGGACATATTAAATCTACACCACAAGTCACATCCCATGGGGCATAAACCGTGTCGTAGATTCAAACCTGTGAACATTTTATCAAAAATTGTAGCCCATATAGCTTGCCTTATGGCTGACAAATTTTCCCGAGTTGTTTTGAACAGCCAAAACATAGCAACTTTGTAATTTGTTTATTTCAGCATCTGTCAAGCCATTACGGCATCCTAGAGATTTTTTGTCTTTAAGCTTTCTGTCTTTTAATTTTAATTTTAAGGCCCTAAGTCATGTCCCCATCATTTTCTCAACATGATTAACACATTCTAATTGTTCAATATTGACATATCTTTAGATTCTAAAACTGATTTGTATGCTTTAGAGTTCCCATATAGTCCAAATATTGTGTATATCGTAAATTGTGTAATGTCTGCGAATGATGAGAGATAAAAAAAAAAGTGCACCTCTTCAACTTCCATTCCCCTACTATTTTCAATGTAACTTGCCGAACACTCATTGCTATGTACATCGCTGTTAAAATTACACAAACATTTCTGCGATAATATTTTAGCATCAACAACTTTCCCAGTGTCCAAACTAACTGCCGTAACAACACCATTTAGAAATATATAGCTTATTTTTAGCCAGGTACCATTGATAGCCACTGGTACATTTGGTTATCCATTATTAAATATTGTTTCGGCAGCAGCTAAAGCCATAGACACTTTGGTTACTTTCTCTGTCACATTATTTAATGTATGCATGGAATCACAAAACCACTATGGTGTAAGTGACAAATGCATAACTCCGCAAAATATTTTTGCAACTGCTACTTTTTAAATAGACCTCATAGCATATGAAATTCTATTGTGTCCACTTCATATAATTTTGTACCTTTTTTGATTAACTACTGTTTTAGAAAACCTGGTAATAAGAAATGTTTGAATAAGACCACAAAAGTTACAACATATTAACAATTTTGTAGCCAAACCCTAGATTTGTGTGACCAAAATTTATGTGAATACCTTGTTTTTTACATTAATTTTATGTAATTAATGTTGTTTCAAAGCACAAAAGAACAGTATAATGTCAGGAATTTCACAGAAACATTCAAATGAATCTAAAAAAGAAACATACTCTTTATTAAACTTACCAAACTTAGATTTTAAAGCTGATTTATTTATGTTGAAATTGTCTGACTTATATCAACATTTAAATCCATAAAAGTTTGGAATGTTGTACATTTCTTTCCAAACTCTTTCGTTTTTTAAATATTTTATTACTTAACAGAGTTTAAAAAACGTTTTGTAAACGTTTTATTAATGTTTTTGATGGAAAACACTATTGAAAACGATCGCAGAAACCCGTTGCATTTAAGGAGGTAAAAAATAGGCTGTAAGTAAACAAACATCTATAACTATTCACTTCACTTCTTTCCTGGATAAGCTGCTGATCAAAATAAATTCTTTTAATCAATTTAAACCATTTGATAAGGCTGAAAAGTAGCATGTGTCATTTGTTTTGATTTCAGAGGGCGTGGCAATCAGCGGTTTTGGGGTTTGACAGATGTAAACAACTTTTTTAAAAAAAATATTAAAAATACTTCTAATTAAGCTAGAGCAAAAATTTAAACTGCATTAGAAAAAAAAAGAATGGTATTTTATGTTTCAATCAAAATTGAAAAATCGATTATTTAATGGATTTTCGTGAAGTCCCTTAAAAAACTGGATCAAGAAGATGAGTTTATTTTATAAAACTGTCAATTTTTTTTATTATTAATACTTATTTATTTAGTTAACATAAACATGTATTATATATATATATATATATATATATATATATATATATATATATATATATATATATATATAAATTAATTTTTCTAAAGATGAAATCGGATCACTCCAACACCATTCAACCAATGACTATGAAAGTTGGCAGGTATATGTATTTTTTTGTGGAGAAGGTTTCTGCGCTATTTTCTTTGTTGCAGCTCTTTACCAAGTGGCACTACAGCATATCAACTTCTGCACCATTCAATCAATCGCCAAGTTTCCAACAGGTCACCAAAAACTGTGTCACTTTGGCTCTATCGCCAAGATTTTGCTATGTTTCTATTGAATTGTCATTATATTGATAGGAACGGCGTTGCCTGCGAATATTACAAATTTGATATAAAATAAAAGCAACAGAAAGTAATATTATTGTATTACAATCTAGATATAAATTATTTACACTATTTTAAGCATTCATTACACAAAATGTGTAACAATGTGTTATTTCTGCTGAGCAGTGATCAGCTTAGGAAGGAGTTTTTGAAAATCGACTCACAAGAGAGTTACGGGGCGTTATAAATTAAAAAAATATTAGAGATTTGATCTACAGACATAAAATTTAACAAATAAGGATTTTTTGTTCAACTGAGATATGCGAAAAGCTTTCTTTTGCTTAATTTGCAATTCACGTAAAATTAACTCATTAAAAACTTCTTTATCCTTCAATCTGTACTGTTTAATTTTTCCATTTTCCCATGCGAAGAAGGGTATACCAGCTAGTGTTACTCTAAAAACGCAAGAAACATTAAATATACGTAAAAGATAGAATTTAAGAAAAATCGGTAAAATCAACTTTCCGTCTTTTGTCTCTGCCCCTCTTAGGCGAACTCTTAAACACATTATCAACGCATAAAAATAACGAACTTATACACTGGTTCAGCTTGTGCATACTTGGAGGCATGACTTCATGATAATTTTTAATTTTTTTATTTATTTGTTTCACACCGGTCTGGTCTCAAAATATTCTAAACACCTTGAAATTTGACCTTATGTTTAGTTTCTGTCAAAAAATTTCGATTTAAATAGTCAACGTCACTACTTTTTACGCGTGACACAAAATCCTTCAACCTTTCCATGTCGAGCATACATTGATTTGATAAAGAACAAGTAATATAAAAAAAATTACTTAGGTCAACAAAGAAAAGTTTTATTTTAGTTATTTTTTATTATATAATTACAATGAATATAAATATGTACACACATATGACAGAATCACAATATTAAGTGGCAAAATAGGAAACGATTTTCCATTCTATATATAACTTAACTTAGTGGTGCAAAAGCCCATGATGTCCAACGCTTACTGTGCCCAACTTAATACACGTGACCTTGGGCCCTGAAGTGTATGAGCAGATGTTCCGATCAGGTGGACAGTCTGACGCGAAAACCCAAGTATTGAGTTCCCAAGCAAGCTTGGTACTCATTTATCGGCCCTCTGTGGATATGAAAGTTCTGAGACAACCTTGCCCAGCCGGGGTTTGAACCTCGGACCTGTGGTGTGAAAGCACGATGCACTAACGACTCAGCCACTGGGCTTCTCCCTTCTATATAGGATGTTGGGCTATTATTTGTGTATGCCACTCTTTATTCATTAATTAAATTTAATTATTCCAATAAAATAGAATAGTAAAAAGAAAACAAATTTTCAGAAACTAGGCCATCCCACATGGGATTCGAACCCACGACCTTTGGATTAGATGTCCAACGCGCTATCAATTGCGCTACAAGGTTATTTTTGAACAAATTTGAACAATATATATATATATAGTTCACATTTTCCCTATATATATATATATATATATATATATATATATATATATATATATATATATATATATCAGTGGCACACACAGGAATTTTTCAAGGGGGGTCTCCAGGGTCGAAAGTTCATTATTCTTGTATCATGTTTTTTTTTATTTTGCCAATTTTCGGGAACAAAACACAGTAAAAGACTAATTATTGAATAAATAATTAGCCTTAATTAGTAAAATTAATCATTAATAACAAATACTTAATTAAATTTTATGTACTATGTACTTAGAATTATAATCAATCGGGAAAAAAATCAAGGGGTTTGGGGGGTGTCCGTACCCCCAGCCCCCCTTTGTGTGCGCCACTGATATATATATATATATATATATATATAAATATATATATATATATATATATATATATATATATATATATATATATACACTGGTGTGCAAAAATTAAGGACGAAGCCGAAAAATTAGCATATCAGCTGAACGAAGAGGCAGAGCGGACAGAAAGACCAATCAGGAGATTAAGTAAGGTGATCTACGGTAGCACATGCGCAGATATGCAGGTAGACGTAATGGGGGAGTGTCTGAGTAGTATAAAGCATGTTGTCGGTGTAAGATCAGTATTTCTGGCAAAGAGATTGCACGCCGTATAGCATTTAAAATCACACCGAGTTGCTGCCTCAGCGAGAAATGGCGAATAATCAATCTGTTAGACGACATCTGGATGCTTTTACCCGAGGTCGAATCATTGGGAAGTTGGAGGAAGGCCGCAGTGTGACAAGTGTGGCTGCAGAGTTCGGAATTTCTCACATCATCGTTCCACGACTTTGGAGACAATTTCAAACCAAAGGAACAGCTATCCGGGGGTTCAGTAGTGGTCGTCCACGAGGAACCACACCCGCAGATGACCGGTACATTGTCTTACAGGCCAGAAGAAACAGGCGGCAGACAGCGGGAGAAATCGCTAGACACACGACACATGCGACTGGACGACCGATATCGCGTTTTACCGTGGCCAGAAGACTGCACGGTGGTGGTCTGTTTGCACGACGCCCTGTACGGTGTGTACCTTTAACGCCTGCCCATCGGAGAAGGCGTTCTCTGTTGTGCCGGGAACACCGGAATTGGAGAGACAATGAATTTGGACGAGTACTCTTTACAGATGAAAGCAGATTCAGTTTGAGTAGCGATTCTCATCGCATACTCATCTGGAGAGAGCGGGGAAGCCGCAATCATCCCTCGAACATCATTGAAAGGGACAGGTATGGAGGTCGCGGTGTTCTCGTTTGGGGAGGCATCGTGCTTGGTAGTCGTACAGACCTTCACATCTTCGACGCAGGTTCAGTCAACGGGACCCGTTATTGTAACGAGATTCTTCTTCCATATGTGCGTCTTTTTTAGAGGCGCTATGGGTCTGCAGTTCCTTTTCATGGACGACAATGCACCATGTCATCGCACAGTAGCTGCCGAACAGCTCTTAGAGAGTGAGGATATTGAACGTATGGATTGGCCGGCACGATCTCCGGATCTCAATCCCATCGAGCATGTATGGGAATTTCTAGGCAGACGCTTGGCAGCTCGTACCTTACCACCAGTAACGATTCGGGAGCTTCGATTGGAGCTGCAAGACGAATGGGCAGCAATGCCTCAACAACTCATTGACACCCTCATTCTCAGCATGGGCAGACGCTGTGAAACCTGCCTAGCAGTCAGGGGAGATCATATCCCCTACTAAAGACCGGATGTTTCTTGCTGGACACCCATCACAGGGATGTTTCGGCCTTCAGTCGCATTGCGCTCCATGCTACTTTTTCAATCAAGCTTCTTTTTATCCCTCTGATTTCTCTTTTAGTAAGTGTTGCTTACATATTACACATGTCCTTACGTATTGGGGATCTTACGGTATTAAATGTGTTGATTTGGAAAGCTTTTGTACAAAGTTATATTGAAAAAACCGTCTCGCCCTTAATTTTTGCACACCAGTGTATATACATATATAGGGAGAATGTGAACTAATATATATAGTAGGAATTTAAAAGAAGATTATTTAATTGATACCACAAAAAATAAAATGAGCTGATTATGATGAAAAAAAAGCAAAAGTAATTTAGAATAAATAAAAAATAATGAAAAAAAAAGATAAACAAAGAAATAAAAAAAATTAATACAGTGATGTATCTGTACCACGTAATTTGTTTACTGAAATGTAACCCTAATGCATTTCGAAATGAAAGAAAATTTTTATCAATACTAGGAAATAAACTTTGACGCATGTTCTCTAGGCTGTTATTACGTTTATTTACCTATGTAATTAATTCATTAACATAATAATTAAAAAAGATTAAACACACATCAAAAGGAATCTGAAGTTTTTCATTGAAATGCAAAGTACCTTCAATGAAAACTCTACATTACTCAGGAAATGATGCATTAGCTCTTTTTCATCATCAGAGAGAGAGAATTGAAAAGACTGATCTGTTTGATGCCGAAGCTTTTGAATTCTCACAGTAAATTCTCTGGAGACGATTTTTATGTGATGTAAACGTTCCTCTCTCTCACTTATTAAACCCTAGGAGCATCTTCTGTGCAATTATTTGTAAAACCCTATCCCTTCATGAATATTTGACTAAGGGAAAAGCCGATTTGATACTGTTGTCCGTAGCTTCAGTCGCTATTCAGTTCCCTTTTTGAAAGCAGCATTAAATAATCAGCTATACTCTAATAGTCGCATTTTCCCTTTTCATAATGATGGGTTGATACCCCCTAATTTACATAAGTGTGATTTTTTTCCCCGGTTGAAACGAGTCTTGCATCATAATTATGTTTTCACCCAGCTTCGAAAATGCTTATCTCTTTCACAAAACAACCTACGCTTTTTTGAGAGAAAATCATAAATTTGTAAAATTGTAAAAAAATGTAGGAGTCGTAATTCTTTTGTGTTATAAATTATCAACTTTGTAACACTGTTGTGGTGTTGAAGGCACGCGTATATATCTTTTTGCTAAAAAATGTGCATAAAATAATAATTAATCATTAACCATGACTTCGCTACTGAAAAGATTAATTAAGTAGGATAGATTGTTAATGTGTTATTGTAAAATGGAAAGGAAAGGTATTAGATTCATTCATTTTTGAATGCAATAATATAGAGAACTCATAGCTTTTAATATTTGTATATATAAGCCACATTTTCAGTATAAGTAATAATACGATTTAAAATATCTTGTTTCTTACTGTTAGAAATTGTAATACGTTACATAACATATAGCAGTACGTCACTTTTCCATCTTTTTTATAACAATATATCTTTTAAACATATAATTAATAAATGCATTTATTTAACAAATATTTCCCCCAAAAGATTATCATTTCAATATGTGTCTGATTGAATGTTCTAGATTTACCATTTTTAACAATTATTTTTAATTTAAATATTTTATATTATTTTTCGGTACTGTTACTTTTGCTCATTAGCAGAACTCTCCCCTACAATACTGGTCAAGATTGACATATGGGGGATCAAGTTGTAAGTCGGGACATTGTAGTTTCAAAAAATGGCCAGCTATTCTTTCCTTATGCCTAGGGTATATCATATTTGAACTGTTTAGGAAAATGACTTTGATGTGGCCACAACTTTTCTACCGCCGACATACAAACGATCGTTTGTCAAAACACTCAATAGGAAGGTAACTTCATGGAACAGAATCGATTGTTTAGGTTTCCCTCGCACATCTGGGTCGCAAACAACTTGAATGGAGAGTAATATCGACCGGTAGAGACAAAGACACATCCTCAGTGTAAAAGCAGCAAGATAAGTAACAGCCTCCAGACGGTAAATGCGATGCCGTTTCGAAGCGGTGTACAGATGGGCGGGCCTTTTGTCCCCACGCAACAGTGAAGTAAGACTACAGTGAGGAAAGCCAAGTGCAGATCTGTTACATTTGCCAATGAGAGGTAATTGGGGGAGGGGGCGTGGAAGTAATCAACCCAGGTGGTTTATAGTGTCGGCTCAGAAGTTGACAGGGACTCTCGATCAGGGATCTGGGACACTTTCCATTTATGAAATGACTTCGCTCTGAAGTTTTGTGCTCTTCAAAGATGTTCGGTTGAGTTTTAATGGGGGCATCCACGTCTCAGGGACGTAGGGAGATGAACTTTGCCTACTAGTGAAAAACGGAATGTTGCAGTCTGCAACGCAACGACTGGAAAACATGAACTGAAATTGAAATAGAACTTTTCTGTCGCGAAAAACTGTGAATTGTAACATATTAATATTCAATCTACTGTTTTATTATTTAATTCAGAATAAAATGTCATTTTGGCAATTAGCTGTCTGATCCCTGAAGCTACAATGTTACGAAGTAAAATAATGGGATCACGATGTTGCACTATTTTTGTATTATACCATCAACCAATTTCACCAAGTAAAAAAAAATGTCCTAAAAAACGCTATTATCGTTATTATTATTGTGTTCGGACATGCACGGCAATGGTCTTCAACTACTGGCAACTATCGCGGCTTTCCATCTGACGAAATTGGTTGATAGTATAATGCGTAAATAATGCTTTCTCTTTTTGTATTCTTACATCAACTCTTCATTATGCAGTCATTATTTATTTTATTAAAAAATGTCTTTATTGTATTCTCGTCTATGGAATAGCAGTTTTTAGATGAACAGTAAAGCTTTCATGTTTGCTTGTTACTCTAATTGTGTTTTTATTCAATCCATACTTTTTTAACACATGATTTGTGAAATTTTTAACTCTACTTAAAGATTTTAATAATTTGTCTAAAAGTACCCATTTAAAACAATGGGGTAAACATTTTTCTGACGACATAGTCACATGATAAATGCAATCCCGTGTTTCCAGCCAAACAGTTCACCCTCCTCACTGTTGCCAATTTTTGCTCTTTTACAGAAATTTTCATTTAAAAGGTTCATATTAGATAATAATAACAATACAAAA